GAAATATAAATTCAACATTATTCTGTATCGTGATGTCTTCACATACAGTTAACAAAACTCAGCCATCAGTAACAGAGGAACTATCCCTTGGTCAGTATTATTCAATTGATTGTATCACTGGACCAGTACCTACTGGAGTATTAGTATCCTGGCTACTTACTAATGGTTCTATTTATAGTAACAATAATACACTAATGATACCATCAATACTACCATCACATAATAATACACAATATACTTGTACAATAATGATTGAGACTAATCCTTCTGACTGTAGTACTCAATCACAGGTCATTACTCTTAGAATAAAAGGTAAGAATCCTGGAAATACAATTATAATTACTTTATTGCTATGTTGTAGCTATTTATATCAGTTCACTGACTGTAGTACCTACTTCAATATTCAGTTCCATTAACTCTACAGTAGTACTGGCCTGTACTATCAGTCTTAATACTGGGATAGGTCCTGATACATCATTCATTAGTCATTACTGGTATCAGTATAGCACTGATATTAGTGATAGGAGTACACCACTGATGATTAATGGTGACAGTAAGAGTCTAGTAACAACACTGAATATTACTAGTGTTCAACTCTCTGATGCTGGAGTATATCAGTGTAGAGCTAGTGTTGATGGTAATGATACTGTTGTAAGTAGTACAGCATATGTTTGTGTTAAAGGTTAGTCTATAATAAAAATTAAAATCTAATAAATGTTTTAATTTAGTTCCTGTCATAAACATTTCTTTTGATGCTGATTTAAGACTAGGAGATGTTAAAGAATATGATTGTACATTAGGTTATAATTATAATAAATCAGAAGTTGTTTTATCATGGCAAGAACTTACATCTGGTAAAGCGTATACAAATCCTCTCATATTAACAGTAGATCAGTCAATCAACAGTACAGTGTATATTTGTAGTTTACTAATTAATAAAAATCCAGCTAACTGTCCTTATCAACAAGTAAATGTATCTGTTACAGTGAAAGGTATTGCCAGCAAATAATGTTTATTAACATTACCTTTAAATAGATACATTTATAAAAACAGTGATGACTAATATTGTCTCCCTGAATTTATCAAATACTTATCAACAGTTGGAGTGTCATATTGCTACTAACACTGATATTAACACTACTAACACTGATATTAACACTACTAAGTCTAACAGTATAGTTAATGTATCCTGGTATAGAGACAATGGTAATGAGAACAGACTAGTATCAGAAAATGAAGGCGTATCTATACTACCCATTGTGTCTATTACAAATACATCATTCATTAGTACACTGAGGTTCAGTCCAATAACATCATCAACTCCAGTATCAACACTTGGTAATTACACTTGTGTAGCATGGATAGGAGAACAATCAGGTAGAAGTAAAACATCAAATAATGTACAAGTTATGATGAAAAGTAAGTATTATAACTGTTTTTATTTTTGTCATTTCTTACAGTCAATAATTCTAGAGATGTTGTTAGTATGTCTCTATTCAATGAATATACAGCTGGAGACAGTTTTAATGCAACCTGTATGATTACTGCTCATCAATTATCACCTCCTATTGCTACTAAAGGTACTGTTGACATTAAATGCAATGACAGCATTATTAGGTCAAGTACTTATGATATTGGTGCCACTGGTAGTCACAAACGATTTATAGACATTACCTTCAGCAATTTGAAATTATCACAATCAGGAGAAATATACAATTGCTCTTATATTCGTAATAGCACTGATTCATTTGTTAAAGAAAGTAATATTATATCAGATGATAATCAGCTAAATATTAAAAGTGAGTTATTTACATCATACTTAATACTGGGTATATTCTACATATATGGCCAGTTATAGGGAACCACAACTTAAATTTAAATGGTAAAAACCAAGTTTTGTGGGTTTGTAAGGTTTTGATAATTCAGAGCAAGTGTTGAGGGTATCA